TTAAAAAGTAGTCTCGTCATAAAAAGTTTGAAATTTTAATCATTTCACTGTGAAATTATCAAATATATTTTTCACGGATACATCAGTAATACAATCAAAAGCATAAAATAAATGACTTTTATTTTACATTTTCAAACCTTTACTTCATCTGCATATAAGTTATTCCACTGATTGAAACTCAATATGTATCAAGGTATTTTTAAAATGTGATAAGGGTCAGAACTACAGTAAGAGGCTCATTTGTTTATCTTGTTATACTTTTTGTTGCTAATTTTAATGTTTGAGGTCATCAGCATAGCATGTCTTTCTTGTAAATGCAAAATTCTTGTCTAGTCAAATTTTGCCTTCTAGTCAGTATATTCTGCTGCTATGTTATGTTTGTTGTTGACATTATATGCTGTTTTTCTGTTGTCTATATGCTGTTGTTTTTTTTCCCCATTAAACATTGTTAGAGGAAGGTAGTCTAGTACTGGTGTAACTCTCCAGAAATGATGGTTAGGAAACTACCCGCCTATATGACGTTAAAGGCGTAAAATGAAACAAACAAACAAAAAACGTTGTTACTATTTAAATCAAGACATTAAATGCTTGGGGAATGTTTTTGATACTGATCAATACAATTATAACATCTTGTCAAAACATGACACTAACAGGGAACACATGTATTGATATGGTATTAACCTTTAAAATAAAGTTGAAATACTTTACAATGATGATTCTTGTAATCTTTATTGTTGTTATTGTTGAAACTTTGATAATATCGGAGAAATTACTGAAACCAACTATTTTTACTGACAATTTTTTTAATGAATTTCTTCACAACAAATTTGATCTTTGTGTAATATCACATTTTAATTATTATTGATTTTTACAAACTTGTACAAACTATTTTTTACTTTTCATCAGCTGCATATTTTTTTTTACATGTCTATAAACAGTATTTCAATGTGCCAAGATTTTGTGTATTATATTTGTTACTTTTCATTAGCTGCATATTTTGTTTACACGTCTATTAACTGAATTACAACCGTGCCAACCTTTTGTGTATCATATTTGTTACTTTAGCTGCATATTTTGTTAACACGTCTATATAAACAGTATTACAACCATGCCAACCTTTTTTGTATTACTTTTTGTTACTTTTCATTAGCTGCATATTTTGTTGACAATTACAACAGTGCCAACCTTTTGTGTATTATATTTGTTACTTTTCATTAGCTGCATATTTTGTCCACACGTCTATAAACAGTATTACAACCGTGCCAAGGTTTTGTTAATTATATTAATTTTTTTTCATCAGCTGCATAATATTTTGTTTACACATCTATGAACAGTATTACAACTGTGCCAAGGTTTTGTTTTATTGTATTTGTTACTTTTCACGAGCTGCATAACATTTTTTTCTTCAGCACTACCATTCCAAAGTGTAATATACGGTTGTAATGAACAACTTTTTATATTAATTGATGTAGATCTATATCATTTGAAAAAGAAAGTAATTGGTAGATAGAAATTTGTAATGAATTACAGTAAATGTATAATACTTTTTCTATGAATTATGTAGAAAGTTAAAAAGACATTTGGGGTCATACTGTTGATTCACTGAAATTTAAACATTATACACATATATTTCTTGGAGTTCCAAAGACCTTCTGTAAAGTTTTACCAGTGTCTAGCATAGGTTTCATTTTTCCTTATAGTGATCTGTAAGGTATCTAATGTTTTAAAACTGCATTTTTAATTATTTTGTTCGTACATTATAAACAGTGTTCCATTACATGTTGCTTATTTAGTGTACCAAAGTAATATTTACTACATAGGACTTTTTGAATAATAATTAATATTTCTGTATTTTTGAATTAATAACTATGTAGTCAAAATGAAATTCTGTGGCTTTACAAATATGTACAGTTTACTCGGATTTTTATATTGTATACTTTTCTAAGTTTATTTACATAAGTAAAGGTTTCTTTGTTGACACCAGGCATCCACAGAATGTATTGAGAATCTGTATATATATATATGATATACACTTACCATAAGTGAGATTACTAAATAAAGTTACATTGTTAAAGCATATACATTGTGTATTGTTTTCTTGCATGATCATAAAGGCTTTGTGCCATAATCTGTCTGTTCCAGGAAACAGAATGAGTTAAAACATCACTTGAATATTTAATGCAAGTACAAGAATCATGCTCTGTAGCAAGCAGTTGCTATCTTAACGTCCAGCAAACTTATAATTGAAGTAATTGAAAATAGATCTACCCCGGAATTCAAAATCTACCCATAATGGAAGTATCTGGGCTGCCCATTTGAAACCCATATTTAGTACAAGGGCTGCGCATGTGGGGCCCATATTGTGTACATGGGCTGCCCAGATGGGGCCCATGTGAATCCCATATTGAGTATAAGGGCTGCCCAGATGGGACCCATTTGGAACCCGGTTGCACTTCCTATATGGGGCCCATATGGGCAGCCCAAATGGGACCCATATAGGTGCCCATATGGGCCCCACATGGGTCCCATATAGAATGCTATCTGGGTACATGTCTATCAAATAAGTTAAATCATAGAAACCAGTTTATTTTTCTTTATGTAGTCCAACGGATCTTTTTTGAACTTGGTCAAACCAATGTTTTGCTATTGTGTATAGTAAAAACTTTAAAAAAATCTTCTTACAGCTAGAGCTTAAATATTTATCATGAAACATTTTCAAATGGGTGTCTACCAAGTTTGTTCAAATAAAAGCATATAGGTTAAAATTTGCCCTGCCTAGGGGGCCTATATACAGGTGAGCGATTCCAGGGCCATCATGGCCCTCTTGTTATTTAATTTATTTATCCCCCTCTTCCCTTGGTATCTTGTCCCCTTCTCCCGTGCCCTTTGACTTTATGGGCCTGTTGTTCGGTCGTTTGTTTTCTTTTAGTTCCTTATCGGTTACTTATTATTTATGATTTTGATGGTTGGCCTGCCCACGTTTTGCCTTGTGCCCTATCCTGCTTTTGTTTGGAGTCCTCTTGGACTCCTTGCCACTGGCTCTTGTTGCTGGGTCGTGTGGGGGTTGCGTTCATTGAATGCCGCCTTTCCTTGTTGATCTTGTTTATCATATTTTATTGTTAAAGTTCATTCTATGTAAATAACAAGATTGTATTTGTAAAAAATGCTATGCCACCGCATAAATACAACACTAAATAGTAATGTAGGAACAGATTTTTTTTTTGTTTCTATACAATTGAACAATGCCATAATGCATAGATCAATGGCCTATCAAATTCAAGTTGTTATTCAAATAAAAGATCAGAATAGAAATCTTTCAATGCAGACGAGTCTAGTTAATTTTGTGGTGAAGATCATATTTCACATGGCCAAAATTCTATGACTGTACATCAAAAGACAACACATTATGACACTTTGTCAAACTCTAGGCCAGCTGATATCAAAGTTGTTTACATCTTACACTTTACATCTTAATCTGTGCACATGGTTCACATTTCATAGCTGCACAACACAGGACAAGGTAGTAGGTCACATCATCAAAATCTAGGTCACCTGATATCAAAATTAAATTTTACAACTTAAACTGTGCACTTTGTCGAAATTCATGGCTGTACATCAAAGGACAAGAAAGTAGGTCACTGTCCCCTTGGGCAAGGCAAAATATTGACCCACGGGTTTAATTTAAACAATCGTGATACAGGTCAACTAAACAATATTTTGTCAGAATAATCGTACAGTTTCACTGAAGATATATATATTTTTTTACAAAGAGATTATTTTTTCCTACAGAGATACACTGAATGTACACTACATGTATCAAATTTCAATGTAAACCATTTGTTACGCGTATATTAAACTCTCTATATACTTTAAATGTCAAATCGGTACAACAGAAATATTTGAGTTTAGGAGAGATACACTGACAGTGTTAATTTTTTTTAATTATTTATTTATTTTTATTTATTTATTTATTTATTTTTTTTGAGAAGAGAATTAAAAAAAAAAATTTGTTGTTTTGAAGGGAATTTTGATGAATTGTTGAAGTTGGTTGACTGTTATTGTGTTGATCTTAATTTATCAGGGTTTATTGGTTGTAAAAAGTTGTTTTGATTTTTTAGTTATATCTGTTTGGTAATAAAGATTTGGTTGAAATTGATTGAATGTTTGTCTGGTCAAGATTATATTAGTTGATGCTTTGTTTTGAGAATATATGTAAATATAAGTTGCTTTAGTTTAAGTTGTTTTCTGATGCTGGTTAGATTTTGTGAAGATAATATTGTCGGTTGAATGTTTGTGGTTTATACTGTATCTTAGAGTTGTAAAATCATTCATTTTTTGTGTTCTTCATTTTGTGGTGATTTTATTGTTTTGTTTGATCTAAGTTGTTTAAAGCTTGGGCTCGCCAGGTGTCTAGTATTGTTTCGTATTAAAGACGTATGTATATATACGTGAAAAGATATTTCGTATAAGTGGTTGATAAATGATGTGTGTTTGTTTTTTATGTAAATAATAATCAGAGTTTGTTGTTTAAATGTATATATTGATTTGAGACAAAAAAAGATAAAAATATCTAAAAACAATATTGTTAACTAAACAATTACATTCTAGTTTTCCAACTCAGAATACTCAGGGCCAATTTTGAAACCAGAGACAAAATTTGACTTTGGTAGAGGACATGTAGGTGCCACCTACGTATATAGGGTTGTTGAAATAGATGACAAAGATTTTTGTAGTAGTCGCTGACCGTATTCGTAAGAGTTTTTTAGTAAAAGAGCATGGGACTTGTTTTTCGAGGAAAAATATCGTATTTTCTAGTCATTACATGTACTGATTAACTATGGGACAATCTTAATTTGTCTATCGTTTTATGTCGTTTCAAGTCGTTTCAAGAGATTGTTTCAAGAGATTGTTAGGGGAAACGCATTGACAAATTCCAATAAACTGTAAAAACTGTTTAAACGTATTCTAGTCAGTACATCAATAGACAAATTAAGAGCAGAATGTTATCCGGAGAGGAAGATCCAGTTGAAGAAGAGGCTAATAGAGGACATTTGTCGTTACCCTCTACGTACCATGAACTTTCAAACCGCCGAAAAGACATTCTGTTGAAATTACTAGCAGAAAGTGAAACATTACAGAAAGTTTTCGAAACCGCGAAATCGGCAGATGTAAATTTTGTAAAAGAAAAACATTCCAAGTGGCTGAACTTGTATGAAAAGTTCCCAGAAATTAACATTAGTTACCAGGCACTTTTGTCACCTGATACAATTAAAATAGATCAGAGTCAACTGAAGCACGAAAGGGACAGATTTGAAAATAATAAACTGTCTATATATTCTTGGTCCTCAAATAATAATCCAGATGACACGAGATCCCGAATTTCGCGTTTTTCTGAAAGGAGCAGCAGAAGCAATATGTCGGCATTATCTTCTTCCAAATTGCGCGAATCGACACGAAACGCTGAAATTATAGAGCGTCAAGCTGCCTTAGAAGAAGAAAAACTTAAGTTAAAGTTCAAGGAAGAACGGTTGAAATTAAAAACTAAAATTCACGTTAGTGATGCAAAATCAAAGGTTATAGAAGATCTTGAAAAGAGTATGCTTTATGACGATGAAGTTGAGCACGACATTAAAGTTACAAGGCAAAAGGAGAAATATGTACTTCCTGAAAGTCCAATCAAAATTGTGCATGAATCTGAAAATGGGCTTCTTAAAATGACGCAGGAACTGAACAAGCCTAAAGTAGAAATTATAAAATTCACGGGAAATCCAATGGAGTATAAACGATTCGTCAGACAATTTGATGCGAAAGTGAATAAAAACACTGACTCGTATGATGAAAAAATGAACTACTTACTCCAGTTTACTACAGGTGAAGCCTATAAGATAGCCTTGGGATATTCATATCTAAACGAGAGAGTGGGATATAATGCTACCATGAAAGAATTTGAGGATCGCTATGGAGACCCTGACATTGTTGCCAATAGTTACGTTAAAAAGGCATTAGAATGGCCTATTGTAAAGGACGATCCGAAGGCACTGGACTCGTACAGCATATTTTTAATGGAGTGTCAGTATGCAATTGAAAACGTAGATGCTGCACGTGTACTTGAATATCCAGAAAACATTAAGTCAATTGTGAAAAAATTACCGTATTCATTACAAGAGAGGTGGAGAAATACAGTTTACAACTTAAAAGAAAATAGTAAAGCAGTCAAGTTTGAAAACTTAGTAAACTTTGTTCGCAGAGAGGCCAAAAAGGCAAACGACCCTCTATACGGGAAGTCCGTAATGTCTCAACAAGGTACCAGTTGTGCTGCAGCTATTAACAAACATCGTCCGCTTCAGCGAAAGGCATTAGTAACAAATACGCAAATAAATTCTAGTCCGACACCAAAATGCGACTTCTGTGAAAGGGATCACTGGATAAGTTCGTGACTGAATAATAAACCACTTAAGGAAAGATATGACTTTCTGAAGTCAAAAGGTTTGTGCTACGGTTGCTTACGGAGGGGATATCAAAAATCTGTATGTCGAAAAAAACTAACATGCAGTCGTTGCAGTGGGACCCACCCATCTATATTACACGTTGATCCGCGCCCAGGATCAATTGCGGAAGAACCAACAGTCACAACAACCTCGGGGGCTACGGCTATGGGGGCTGGATATCGACAAGTGTTGCCCATTGTGCCTGTTAAGATAAAATCTAAGGACAGCAATATCGTTGTAGAATCATATGCGTTTCTTGACACGGGTAGCACTTCTACATTTTGTGCAGAAAATTTGCTTGATAAATTAAATGTCACTGGCAAATGGCGGAAAGTTACAATTCAAACAATCACTGAAAAACAAACTCATAACTGTCTCGCTGTTACAGGTTTAGAAATTTTATCCTCGGTCATTGATTTAGCGAAAGTGTATTCACAGCCAAGTTTACCTGAATCTTCGAGAGATAGGATAACAAACGCAGAACTCGAACAATGGACCCATTTGAAAGATATTAAGTTAGACCAAATCGATTCCGAAGTTGAAATCCTGATCGGTGTTGATGTACCGAGAGCGCTCGAACCATGCGATGTCGTTCCTAGTGTTGACAACAGCCCGTTTGCGATGAAAACAATTTTTGGTTGGGCGATTTATGGTCCTATAAACTGTGGTGATGATCTTGAATGTTCAAACGCATTATCAGTGTCCTGTAACTTTGTTCAGACAAGTCTAGACCAGCAAGTGAGAGATAACTTTAATTTAGATTTAAGTGAACGAATCAAAGACGATGTCCAGGAGCATTCGCGAGAAGATAAACAGTTTCTAGATATAGTGGCAGTGTCTGCCAAGTTAGAAAATGGACACTATGTAATAAACTTGCCGTTCAAGTCAAAGGACACACAAATGCCAAATAACAAGAAAGTTGCATACCATCGTCTTGCACTTTTGAAAAATCGTTTTGAAGGGGACAGTAAGCTTTCCGGTGAATATCGTGAATTCATGGACAAAGTCATTGAAAAGGGTTATGCTCAGCCAGTCCCTGAAAATAACATAAACCAACCAGGCAGAGAGTGGTATTTGCCACATCACCCGGTCCGTCATCCAAAGAAAGATAAGTTAAGGGTTGTTTTTGATTGTTCGGCGCGCTATCAAGGAACATCTCTAAATGATGAGCTATTGCATGGACCCAATTTGACTAATACACTCGTGGGTACTTTACTACGATTTCGTCAGGAAGAAGTTGCTATTATGGGTGACATTGAAAGCATGTTTTACCAGGTTCACGTTAATCAAAGTGATGCAAGCTTCTCGAAGATGGGGACGTAAACAAGAAAGTTGTCGAGTACCAGATGGTTGTTCATTTATTTGGCGCTAAATCTTCCCCGAGTTGTGCGAATTACGCTTTGAGGGAAACCGCATTCGATCACGGTAGTAACCATGACAACGAAGTAACTAAAACAATACTAAGAAATTTCTATGTTGACGATTGCCTCAAGTCAGTGCCAAATGTTGAAGTTGCGAAATCTTTGGTAAATGATCTTCAACACGTTTTACTACAGGGCGGCTTTCGTATTCATAAATGACTAGCCTCGAGTCGTGATGTGATGTCAACCATTCCATGTAGCGATAGAGCTGTTGACCTGGATCTGAACTATGACACTTTGCCAATTGATCGCGCATTAGGTATTCAGTGGTGTGTAGAATCTGACAAGGTCTGTTTCAAAATTAACATTAAGAACAAACCATTAACGCGACGCGGTATGCTCTCTATGCTAAGTTCCGTATATGATCCGCTTGGCTTTCTGGCTCCGTTAATGTTACATGCCCAAAACATACTCAAGGTTCTCTGCGCATCGAATCTAGGCTGGGACGACCCAGTTCCTGATGAACTAGCGGAAAGATGGGCTCTCTGGATCAATGACATGTACAAATTGTCCGAATTCTCAGTGACTAGATGCCTAAAACCAGCAGGTTTCGGTGAGGTAAAGTCGGCTACCTTGCATCACTTCTCGGATGCTAGTGAGATTGGCTACGGTATCGTCAGTTACATAAGATTACTCAATAAAGATAATCGTGTTCACTGTGCCTTTGTGATTGGCAAATCACGCGCTGCTCCAATGAAGCAAATAACAGTACCTAGATTGGAGCTTACGGCAGCGACAGTCGCGGTGCGAACTGACAAAATCTTAAAGTCAGAAATTGACATTAAATTAGACGAATCTGTGTTTTGGACAGATAGTATGGCTGTACTACGGTATATTGAAAACAATTCTGCAAGGTTCCAGACCTTTGTGGCTAACAGACTTTCTGTGATTCATGATGATTCAAATCCTGAGCAATGGCGCTATATTCCAACCAAGATAAATCCTGGCGATATTGCCTCCAGGGGCATAACGGTAGACGAGTTAAACAAGAGCTGGATCATAGCACCAGACTTCCTATGGAAAGATGAAAGTGAATGGCCCGCAGATCGCGTGAACCAAACGATATCAAATGACCATCCAGAAATAAAAAAGGTTAATTTTGTGAAATCTCGCGCTGACAACGTACTGTCACCAGCTGCACGTGAAGTGCTCGATAAACTGATGTCATATTTCTTATCGTGGTATAAACTGAAAAGTGCTGTAGCATGGATCTTAAAGATTCGCAAGAAACTTATTCACAGAGCTAAGATAAAAGGGGTTGGTGTTGCAGTTCCTAACATTAGTGAAAAGATACCACATGTCACGGTTGACGATCTTAAGCATGCGGAAATGAGTATTTTACGTTACACCCAGAAATGTGCTTTTCGGAAGAAATTGAAACACTGACAAACAGTGAATCTACATGTAGATTAAAACGAAACAGTGTCATACGAAATTAAGACCCTGATATGGAAGATGGGCTTTTACGCGTTGGAGGCCGTTTACAAGACTCCGAAATGCCTGAAGAACGTAAAGGTCCAGTCATTCTACCTAAAAATTATGACGTGTCTAAACTGATTTTAAGAGAAATTCATGAACGTTTGAATCATGTTGGCCGAAATCATACATTATCAGTCCTCCGTGAAAAATACTGGCTTATAAATGGACCATCCGCGGTAAGGAAAGTGATTTCAAAATGAGTAGTTTGTCGGCGTCAAAATGCAAGTGTCGGAGAACAAAAGATGTCGAATTTGCCTAGAGACAGGGTTACTCCTGATGAACCACAATTTACTCGGGTTGGTGTTGAGTATTTCGGATCATTCGAAGTCAAACAAGGCCGAAGTCTAGTGAAAAGGTACGTACGTGTTATTATTTACATGTTTGACCAGTCGAGCTATTAATCTTGAAGTGGCTGCTTCGCTCGATACTGATTCCTATATAAATGCATTAAGACGTTTTATCGCGCGTCGTGGTCAAGTTACTACTATCAGGTCTGACAATGGTAGTAATTTTGTTGGTGCGGAAAGGGAGCTTAAAGCTTCAATTCAAGAATGGAACATAAATCGTATTCAGGATACGTTACGGCAAAAGGACGTTGACTTGAAGTTCAATCCGCCTGCAGGATCTCATCATGGTGGAATATGGGACAGAATGATAAGATCGGTACGACAAATTTTGAAAAGTGTTCTTAAACAGCAGACCTTATCTGACGAAGGTTTGCTTACATTAATGTGTGAAATTGAATCAATCATTAAAAGTAGACCAATAAGTAGAAATTCTGATCATCATAATTATCTTGAAGCTTTGACAATAAATCATCTCTTGTTGTTGAAGCGCAATCCAAACTTACCACCCGGTGTATTTGTAAAAACTGATAATTACTATAGGCGTCGTTGGCGTCAAGTGCAATACATGGCTAACTTATTTTGGTCCCGCTGGACCAACGAATACTTATCACTCCTTCAAGAGAGAGCAAAATGGCGTAATAGAAAAAGAAACTTTAAAGAGGGGGATATCGTACTAATTGTCGATTTGAACGCTCCGAGAGGCTCATGGCATTTGGGCAGGGTTATGGCAGCTATGCCTGACAGACTAGGGTTCGTTAGACGAGTTAGGGTTAAAACTGCCCATCGTCATATGTGGACCGTCCTATTGACAAGTTGTGTTTGCTCCTTGAAATGGATGAGTGACAATTCTTAACTATGCATGGCTAAAGCTTTAGCCATAACTGTGTACAATTATATAGACTTGTGCTATCTGTTGAATATTGAGTATTTTGCTTTAAAGACTCATATCGTAATAATTATTTCATATTATGATACTGATTTATGATACTGATTAATGATTCTTGATCAAACATACTTCATACATTATCTTGAATTTTATGTATGTTTTTTCATTCTAAGATGCTATATTATAACATGTACATTTGCTTAAAATGCTGTAAAATTGTTATTTCTGTAAAAATTGAAATTTAGCAATCATTTCATTACTGTTTTTGATGTCAAAATTTTTTGCAGAAAGTTTTGAAGTTTTTATATTAAGTTTTTCATGGTAGGATTGTAATTGTTTAACAATTAGGGGGCTGGGATGTAGGTGCCACCTACGTATATAGGGTTGTTGAAATAGATGACAACGATATTTTAGTAGTCGCTGACCGTATTCGTAAAGTTTTTTAGTAAAAAGCATGCAACTTGTTTTTTCGAGGAAAAATATCGTATTTTCTAGTCATTACTTGTACTGATTTACTTTGGGACAATCTTAATCTGGTTAAAAGAGTTGTTTTCTATTTTTGCATGTATTTAGGCTAATTATTGCCTTTGCGGGATTTCTATTACCCCACCCATTGCGTTTTGCATTACGAAAAATGTTAAGCATCTTGAAAGGTTTGATAGTGTAATTTCTGTTTATTTATCGATATTTCTAGTTGTTAGGCATTCTTTTATGCAGTTTTAAGTAATTTATCTTGGTCTAGATACATTATGTAAGAAACTTCCATGTTTAGAGATTATTTCCAAGGGAAGCAAATCTTACAAATTTTTGGAATATGCTTAACAGAGTTATCCTTCCTTGACAAATGTACATTACTGTATTTTAATGTGTTGGTTTTATGACATGGAATTTAGTGTATTTCTTTGTTTTTTTTAGTCTATCGTTTCATGTCGTTTCAAGAGATTGTTTCAAGAGATTGTTAGGGGAAACGCATTGACAAATTCCAATAAACTGTAAAAACTGTTTAAACGTATTCTAGTCAGTACATTATATGAACATAGTGAAAATCAATGACCCTGGGGAGGGGCCAATTTTGACACCGGGGCTATAATTTGAACAATCTTTGAAGAATAATACACAAACATCTCAGGCCAAATATCTAACCTCTAGCCTTTGCCAATTCAGAGAAGAAGATTTTTTTCAAGTTTTTACTACAAATGTATATACATATAAGGAAAACTATCGCCCCTGGGGCAGGGCAATTTTAACACTAGGGACATTATTCAAACAACTTTGGTAGAGGACTCATAGATGATATTATAATTATACAAAATATCAAAGCGCTGAGCTTTGTACCTCCAAGCTAGAGGATTATTAATTCTTAACTATATGTACAAAGTGACTGAAAATCAAAGACCCATTTTGACCCCAGGGCTAAAATTTGAACAATCTTGCTAGAGGTTCACTACACAATGTTCCATGCAAAATATCAAACCTCTAGCCTTTGTCAATTTAGAAAAGATGATTTCATATACATATATGCAGGCGTTATACTGTCCTGCAGGCGTAACACTGTGCCGAATTTGACACCAGATGGGCATACGAATATGAAATTTTTGATTTCGTGCGAAGATAGCCCCGAAATTGGTCGACAGTCTCTCAACAACCGAAACAAGTACGATTCCTACAGAAGGTAACGCGATCGCATCCGAGCCACACACGATTCCTACCAAAGGTCACGCGATCGCATCCGATACACACACGAAGTCACCTCAAAGATGCAATTTTGTACAAAGAAGTTTACCAGTAGGACACACGAAGGTCCCAAGATAGGAACCCGACGTCGTATTTTGAGTACGATGCCTTCGTACGTGGTTACGAAGGCGTCAAGTGACAACGGCCAACCGCGGAAAACTTTAGTTGCAGATAGTATTGGGAGCTAATTAAACTACGTTTAAACTTTATTTAGGCTCTATATATTACTTTCAAAAACAATTCTATTCACACAAAAATCTATGATAAAAGTGACGACTTTGATTATGGTATATTTAACTATCCACATTTAGATGGAGACGTACCGCATGCAACATCTGACGGGGTATATGTATCTCAGTAAATTAGATTCGCTAGAGCTTTTATTTTAACAAGCTAAATATTTTCATTACTAGCAAGCTACTCAAACAGGGCTACCGCTATTATTAACTACGTAGATATTTTACAAAATTTAACAATCGTAACTTTGATTTAATCTCAAAATTCATCAGTGATTCAAAAATGATTATAACGGAGATGTTATTTACAAACTTTTCTAGATCTTTGGTCATTGTTGCCTTTACTGAAATTATTAAACGTTTCACCAAAAAAAGGTTTGACTCTACTCTTTTAGATATACCGCATGCATAGTGTTCAACACTTTAACAGTTGGTCCTTTCCTCTTTTGACTACATCTGACGGACCAAGTGAGATACTCTATGAAGGACAGTTCTTAATGTATTGCCTTAATGTTCGTCCACTGCCTTGATTCGTCAGGCCCTTGTAGGTGATTTTTTGTTACTCTGTCTTCCTTTAAATTATTGAGTACTTTTGTTATGGTCATATGGGTATTCCTTTATATGTATCTACATAATCATCTCGTTGTTTTACTTATTTTACCTTTTGAAACCATTATAACAACTTTTATAAATTTACTTCGAGGGGATTCATTTTATTTACACCGTCTCGTTTATAGGAACATGGTGGACTAAGAGTGATTTTTGGCGCACTATTAACCGGTTTAAACTCCCCAGCAATGCTTATGCCGCTGACCGGTCAAAGGCGGGGCCCCTCTTTGTTCCTCAGATGCATGTCTTTGTTATTTCATATTATTTCCCCTCACTTTTTCGTAATGCTAATTTCCCATAGGCATCGTGGAGTTATTTTTTACTGTTAATGCAATGAACCACGTGACTAAGAATTTTGTACTGTTACATAGGTAACAGTATTTTAACAGCATAAAAATCTGGTCACGTGGTCTATATTCTAAATAAAATGAAATAAAATGGCCGCCATTTTTTTCTTGATTCATTCTGATTTTCAATGTTAAACCCCGATATGAAATCGTTTTTTTTCCTGAAGTAACTATGAAACTCATAAAATTTAGTTGTTTGCAACCTTGTGTGCTTTTCGCGTATAAAATATCTTTTTATTGAATAGTCAAAAAGTGAACATCCGTTTTCAACGGAAGTAATTGCAATGTAAATAATTATGTGTCAAACTGGAACATGCAGACGATTTAAGCATGCAATAAAGGATCATTTAACAATTTTAATCAGTGAAACGTTACAGATATTGTGGACAGTCATAGGATATCATCGTTATTTTGACAAAAAACATGCTAAGAATATTCTGGAAACAGAAGCCGAGAAGGATCAGATTTCACAGATCATAACCGTGTAAATGGGTAAGTGTTTGTTTTCTAAACAAAAACCTAGCTTATTGTATGTTTATGATTTGTAGATATCATCACTTGCTTAAAGAATAAAACTCAAGTAGACCTAAAGTACACTTAAAACGTAAAAGGTAAGGACAGTTTGGTTATTGTTACTCTTGGTTTATTTTTTGTTACAGTTAGGTTTAGTTGACAATTTCAGATCATCACAGTATTTTTGTTCGGGGTAATAAAATAAATAACACATGGGTTTGTGAGTATCAGTAAAAATATCATCCCTCGTAAAATACTGTTACCCTCGGCTACGCGTCGGGTAACAGTATTTTCCTCGGGATTATATTTTTACTGTTACCCACAAACACATGTGTTATTTAGATACTGTTTTGGTGACACTTTTGTCGCTAGTTTTATTTATTTAATAATTTGATAAATAATCATTTATTTGTTTTCTTTGATTTCCTTGTCGTTAACCATTATTTCGCCTTGTGTATCATTTAAGTGATAAGCCTATCCGTGCTCTACCTTGCACCTGTCCGTTTTTCTGGTTGGCGGGGGGCCTTTTTGTGTTACTTGGTTCGTGTTGCTTGGATGTGTGGGTGTTGCGTTCATTGAACGTTGCCTTTCCTTGTTGATCTTGTTCATCCTATTTGATAAAACTTTATCATACCACTCAAAGTGGGCCTGTGGGCCTCATTATGTTTTCCAAGGTGTCTTAAAAGTAGCAATGCTGCTGCCTTCTTTTTCTCGGTTGACGCATCATCAAAGCATGTAATTCTGCAGGAAATAAACTGAAAATAATTGTAAATTAATTGCAAATAATGGAAGCTTTTGATGTCTCTGTAGAGATGTGCAAGAGTGACAGATGAGGAAGATGGTCTAGCCGTTTATATGTCCACCATGATAAACATGCAACGCTTGAGCCACTAACAATTGCTTTCTTCGGCCTCATCGTGGTCGAATCTCGATTGCATCGTACCAAAATACGATGGCGACACGACGGTAATGCGGGGGCTTCACGTAGTCGTGTTCCCCTTTTAAGACTATCAGGAATCTTCGTGTTTACTTTGTATTGTCTTCTTGAGGCTAAAAATGTCAGATTGCACCGATGATCACACAAAGAAAAGACAAAGACTACACGATTTGACAAGATGGCTTCACGACGGCCATACGAAGGGCAAAATTGACATACGAATTCAATACGAAAACGAACCTTCGCAATGTCTTCAGGCAATTTTCTGGCATGCCAAAGATTTTGGAACCGCTCACGAAGTTGCTGCCGGAGCTTGTAATATTCAGCCGGAGATCTTACGATGGCAAAAGATGCCCTCATCTGATGCCAAATTCGGGACAGTGTGACGCCTGCATCCCGAATTTGGCATCAGGTGGAAACACGAATAAGGAAATGTTCAAATTCGGATCTGATCGAAATAATGACGGGCCATTCGTGAAAGCATCTTTTGCCATCGTTTGACCCCCGGCTAAATTTTTCAGGTTCTGGCAACAACTTCGTGAGCGGTCCCAAAATGTTTAGCATGCCAAACAATTGCCGGATGACATTGCGAAGGTTCATTTTCGTGTTGAATTCTTATGCCAATTTTGTGCTTCGTAAGACCATCGAGAAGCCATCTTGTGAAATCGAATAGTCTTCGTCTTAACTTCGTGTGATCATCGGTTGAATTGCCTCAAGAAGACAATACGAAGGAAACATGAAGATTCCCGATTGCCTTAAGAATGGTACACGACTACGTGAAGCCCCCGCAATACCGTCGTGTCGCCATCGCATTTCGGTACGATGTCATCGAGATGGGACCACGATGCGTACGATTAAAGCAAATTTGAGTGGCTCAAGTGTTGCATGTTAATCAAAAAGGCTAGCCTCAGACCATCTTCTTCATCTGTCAGTATTGCACATCTGTACAGAGACATCAAAACTTCCATTATTTGCAATTAACTAACAATTATTTTCTGTTTATTTCCCTGAGATGATGAGTAAACCGAGAAAAAAGGCAGCAGCATTGCTTATTTTGATACACCTTAGAAAACTAGAAAAGCAACTCCTACATGCCAACCTCGCGAGGTATGATAAAGTTTAATCACATATAATAAACAAAATTAACAAAGAAAGGCGCCTTGAACGCAACCCCACGCGACCGAGCAACAAGAACTAGTGGCAAGAAGGACCCAAAACAAAAACAGGACAGAGTGCAAGGTAGAGCATAAACAGGCTAATAATTAAAATGATACATAAGAAGAAATAATAGTAACCAAAAAGTAAATCAAAGAAAACAAATAAATTATTTATTAATAGGCCCACAAAGCAAGGAGACATGGGAAGGGGGTGGAAAATTCGGGAAAAGGGGGGGGGGGGGCAAAATTAAAAGATTAAAACTAGGGGCAAAAAGGAAGATACTTACCGTAGACAAGAATACAACAAGCGACACTAGCCATATATGTAACCAAAAAAGTATGAACAAACAAATACATACATCTGAGAAACACAGAGATGCGCTTCATTGGAACGGTCAGCAGCAAAAGTACTGCTGGGGAGTTAAAACCGATTAATGGTGCACCAAACCTCACTCTTAGCCCAACCATGTTCCTATAAACTAAATGAATCCCGCCAAGTGAAGTTCTAACAGTTGTTATGGTAACTAAAGGTGAACACTATAATTAGCACTTAGAAACATATAAAAGAAAACATATTGAATCAAACAATAAATAAAAAGTTTGATAATTTTAGTAAAGACAACAGGAAAATGACAATGTCGCAAGATCATACGAAGTTTTTAAATAACATCCACAAAAAAATCAGGCTGGCTAAACCCTTGTCGCAGAAGTGTTTTTAAATCACTATTGAATTTTGAAATGAAATAAAAGTTACGATTGTAAAATTTTGTAAAATATTTAAGTAATAAATAATAGCTGTAGCACTGTTTGAGTAACTTTCTAGATAAGGAAAATAATCCTTTACGTAGCTACAAGCTTTTGCGAATCTAATTAACTGAGATACATATACCCCGTAAGATGTTGCATATCTATAGTTATTTGAAGATTCAAAATTAAGTTTTAACGTAATTTAGCTCCCAATATTATCTGGCACTGAAATTTGCCGCGGTTTGCCGAAGGTTTCATACCACCCGGAGGTCACTTGACGTCTTCGTAACCACGTATGAACGCATCGTGCTCAAAAAACGACGTCGTGAACCTTTGCATCTTTGAGACTGATCTATCTACCTATGAAGTTTCAAGTTGATGCTTCAGAACAATTATTAAAAGAGGGTCATGATGGCCCTGAGTCGCTCACCAAAAAGAACTGCTTTTCAGTAGAAGATAAAAGACTACCTAATATTGCTACAGACAAATTTTGTGATCATCCATTAATTATTTCAGTAGGCGATGATTTTCAAACGTTTTTTCTATTTATAGCTTTAGCGGCCTCTACAAGGGGCCAATCAAATAAATATGAACAAATATGAAAAAAGACTACATTAGAATGCTACTGACAAAATTTAGTGATCAACCATAAACTATTTCAGTAGGAGATGATGTTCAAAGGTTTTTCTACTTTAAGCTGTATCGGCCCCTTCAAGGGGCCAATCAAATTTATATGAGAAAACTTGTTAAAAATCTACTAACTGCTACAGACAAAGTTTAATGATCATCCATCATTTATTTCAGAAAAAGTTGATGTTAAAAAGTCTTTATATTTTTAGCTTTAGCGGCCCCTAAAAGGGCCAATCAAATTAATATGAACAAAATTTGATTAAAGACTACCTCAGAATGCTACAGACAAAATTTTGTGATCATCAATCAATTAGTTCTGTAGAAGAAGACCTTTAATTGTATTTCTTTTTTTTAGGTTTCAAAAAAATTGATATGAGCAAACTTGAAAAAACACTACCAAAGAATGCTACAGACATAAGTTGGTGATCATCTATCAATAAGTCAGTAGGAATAATGGAAATAATGTTCAAGTGTTGGTTTTTTTTCTATTTAAGCTTTAGCGGCCCCTGAAAGGGGCCGATAAAAATAATATGAGCAATCTTGATAAAAGACGCTCTCAGAATGCTTCATACAAAATTTGGTGATCATCCATCAATAAGTCAGTAGGACATGATGTTCAAATATTTTCTTTTTTTAGCTTAAGCATCCCCTTAAAGGTGCCAACCAGATTAATATGAACAAACTTGATAGAATACTTCCTAAGAATGCTGCAGTCAAAATGTGGTGATCATCCCTCAAATATTTCTGGTGAAGGAGACTTTTAAGAGTATTTCTATTTCTAGCATTAACGGCACCTAAAAGGGGCCGATAAAATTAATATGAGCAAACTTGATAAAACACTACCTAAGAATACTACAGACAAAATTTGGTGATAATGCATCAATAATTATTTAGGAGCTGATGTAAACATGTGTTTTTATGTTTTACTTTAGCGGCCCTCAAAGGGGTCAACAAATTATTATGAGCAAACTTGACAAAATACTAACCAAGAATGCTGCAGCCAAAACTTGGTGATCATCAATCGATTAAATCTGTAGGAGGAGACATTTTGGGTATTTCTTTTTTCTAGCTTTAACTGCCCCTAAAAGAGGCCAATCAAATTAATATGAGCAAACTTGATAAAAGACTGCCTAAGACTGCTACAACGTTTGGTGACCATCCATCACTTAGTTCTGTAATACAGGAAATGTGTTTTTTTTTCTTTCTTTAACTCTAGAGACCCCTAGAAAGAGCTAATCAAATTAAGATTAGCAAATTTGTTACAGGACTACCTAAGAATGCTACAAACAAATGTTGGTCTTTTTGACCATCCATCATTTTATTTAGTAGTAGAAGATGTTTAAAGGTATGAGCAATTTTTTGACTGGGATGCTACAGACCAAAGTCGACGTAACGTTGCCCATCCTTTGCATAGAAGATGATTGTTTACACATGACGACGGACGACGAGTATCCCCCTTTGATAGTAATTGCTTATCCTGAACCTTCGTCTCTGGTGAGCTAAAAAAAGGCGACTCACGATTGTTTCTCATTTCGTTCATTTGGTGTTTGTCTAATGGTGCGGTTAATTGTATACCAAGATTGATAATGGTATGGTTAGAGTAATGCTGAAAATAAATGATGATCCAATAAAAAAGTTAGCGCAAATATTCATTCCAGCTTTTGCATTATAAAGCAAGTGGTATTGTCGTTTTCATAGGAATATCAAACCGTGTTTTAAAGTAAGCTGGTATAACGCTTTTCACGTTAACGCATTAATCATGCATCTACTATTTAGTAGTGACTTTCCGTCATTAGTTATTGTTAATCATGTGAAAAGTTTCTTAGTTCAAACAATTCAGCATGTTAATTGAAAATTAAATTTTATTCTATAATACTTAATTACATCTAGATGAATATTATTGCCAATCAATATGTCTTTTTATGAACAAATAAAACTGGTACCTGCGTCTCATTTCATGTAAATCAAATGTGTATACAGGTAATGCAGCACTGTCACTCAAAGAAAATTGTTCATGCTTTAAAAAAACAAAAAAAACAATGAAAATTAACAATGTTATTTACTTACTTCTATAAGTTTTGGTATACTATAGAAAAACTTATCGCCCCTTTCGATTTGAAAATATTCACCAAGATTCGTGTACTGGATTTGAAACTGGTGTACTTGTTTTCCAAACGTTGACTTTTTAACAACAAGAACAAACCAATCTGGGTGTGATTGACTTCGTCGTACGAGAAAGGTTCCACCTTCCTGATATTTCATAAGTTTCTCAGATTCATCATAAGAAATATTTCCATGGAACCACCTGGAACATGAATTTCCGATTTCTTTCAACACAGCATATTTAATTTGAATCTGTGATAGGTATCTATTTAAGATGTCTTAATACGGCAATGTAAGAGCTACATAATATGAACGAAAAATATGCAAAAATGAAAAGAACTCTGTATTGTATGACTTAAGATTTCAATCATTAAGAGGAAATGAAATGGTAACAATTTATTGGATATCCGTTAAAGAAAACGACTTTATTTGTAGCTTTAAGTTTATACTATTAGTTCAAATTCTTCTCTTCTTTGATTGTTTATCTACAAAGAAGAAATTATTTTGTACTCACGGAAATTCTTCAAGCGGGGCATCCGATTCAATGATGTTGATCCAGTCATTCCCATACTTAAAGGTTATATTCATATATTGTTATTGTCAATTTCCCAGGTGATCAAAATACTACTCAAACACATTTAGTGACAAAGATAATAATTCTACGCGATGCTTAGAGCAAAAAAGACATGAATATGTGTTTATAATTGTTGATAGAGAATAAAGGATTGATCGAATGCCTATACTTTTTTAGAGGAAATACTGTTGGAAAGTATAAATGCTAAACACTGGGTCAGTTATATACAGTTTATAAAGTGTGCATTTACATTCATTTACAATAGACGTTTTCTTTTGATATTGACACGTCCGACCTGAAAGGGGTGTACAAGGTACAAATGTATTTACTGTAAACGAAGAAATAATTGAAAACTGCTTCAAGTTAATTTATCAACATCTTAATTAGATTTAAAGTAAAACTTCCTAAATCAATATTGTATTCATTAAATGAAAGACAATAAGTAAATAATTTATAACTGAAATATCATTTGTAGAAAACAAATGTTACTTACTGTTAAGCTGTCTTCACCCTTATATTCCACAGTTTGTATCTGCTCAACCCCTACATAAATGGGATGCGCCATCAGTGTCTATATCGCTGAGATGTGACGGCCTTTTTAAAACGTAGTATTATAGATAGTTGATTAATTTAATTTAATCATCATTCAAGACATCCTGAATAAAAAAAAACATTTAGCTTGATACAACTTTTGTACATCACAAACAGAAAACAATCTATGAAACTTTTAAAAACGTTTCTTCGTTCCCTTTGATTATACATTTTTGTTATTTATTACCATGTATATTTGTGACCGGTAAAGTGACTTTTATCAATTGTGTTATGATGTTATTTATAACTTTTCAAGGGATACAAGCGTTGTACTGTTATACATTTTCTTTATAAACTGCGACAACACATAAAATAATACTTTGAAATAGATATAATACAATGTTATATAAAAAGGGAACATAAATATCTACTTCATAATTAAGCATCTATCATTTCTTGTGTTTTATACTGCTTTTCAACATACCATATTCCAGTTATTATTTTAGCGGCTGAACGTTCATCAAACCAGTGTTTCGCACTTCTTTATCAGTATAAAACAAAACTACCTACACAAATACAAAAGCACGCACACACACGCACGCATATTTGCACATACACGTGCACGCATTAAAAGGAAAAACAAGCTGATCATGATGACCCAGCATCTCTAAAATGAGTTTCATATTGTTAAAGCACGCACAATTTAATTGTTCATTATCAATTGTCAGTCACATTTGGTTTTGCGTTTTTAACCAGACTACAAGTTGTTTTTATATATTACTCAAAGACATATTTTGCGAAATGATTCCCGACACAAACATGTGTAAGCCTCTTTACATTGTTTTTACACCTAATTACACATATTGTACTAGGTACGTTTCTATTATTAGTTATAAAGATTGTTGACAGGTTATATGGCCCTATATAAACGGCTGTTTGTAAATATAACCCGAGCTGCTAAGCGAGGGTTATATTGCAAACAGTCTTTTATATACGGCCATATAACCTATCTACAATCTTTATAACGAATTTATAATACAGCAAACATCATTCTTTAGAGAAAAAAGTAAGATTTCTTCATGAATCGACAACAGCCGTGTTTAATTTCTATGCGGGTTTTATTCATAAAAATAATTGAGGTTCGATATCAGCCGGAAAAATGCCTCACACATAAATACTCTTTAAAGGTAAATAGGGACATTATGATGTCATCAATTAGCAACATGATGTTGTGAAACACACCATTTTAACGACAAAAGTAGAACCAAGAATCTTCTATTTTGTGTTTACTATGTTTAGTAGAACCTGTTTACTATGATAAGTAGAACCTCTTAACACATAACGGCCTTTAAATGAAGAGGTTTATTTAACAGTTGTAACAACATTGTAATTTGCCATTGCAGAAAAAGAAATAACAAACATAATTGAATGGGATAAGGCCGTGACTTTATTAAGCATTTGGTGCAAATAAATGTCAATGAAAAACAAAATATGAAATAATGTAATGAATAAAATATGAAAAAGACAGCTCCCAGCGAAAATGCTTGGACAGCTACATAGCAACGCAATGGTGCTGAAACTATGATAATAAGCGCTAAATATGCTAAATTCTGTTACAATACGGTCTGGGAAATGGAGTCGTATGGCATGGAAAATCCAGTAGAAAATAACATATTCAGAGCTAAAGAGAAAACGAGGCGAAGGTGAACTCTCAGAGATCTCCGTATATAATGAGATGATGTTGACGGACAGCATTCATTGCACCGAAATGCACATAATAGCGTGTATTGAGGGCAATTATGTATTACATACGTTAATTATTTAAGCACACACCATTACAAATTTCAGAAAAAATGATGAAAGTTTAGAAAGTCACCTACTAGGACGCCTATTTAAGCTCTTTTTTTTAATGATAAAACATAAATATGTTTGTTTATATGAATAGATGGAAAACCGAATATATGGAGAGCGACAATGCAGGGTTGGACGTAGCAACTAAGCTACTATGTTATAAATAACCATCCAAAAAATTGACTGAGCTAAGCGGCAGACAAAGATTCGAACAGGGGGGCTAACATGTCTGTTTCAACATACCCATTTTGTTAGAGGTTTGTAGCAAAGCCATCTATTTTTTTTGAATATGTACGGACCCTACACGTACATACTATTTTTGCAGCTATCGACAGACCACTAATAGCCGTTTGGCCGAAAAGCTGAATTTTTAACCCTGTTCATATAAGACACAGTCAATTCAAGGACATGGTGAACGGCCGACCATTTAGGTCTAGGCCCCCTCTAACGGTTAAAGGGCGCCCGCCCAATAACACCAATGATAAGAGATGGCCAACCGAACGCGAGGTTGCAGATACGGGAGGCCAACCTAGAAGAAAAAATACAATTTTTTTTTTTTTTTTTTTTTTTTTCTTTTTTTTTCTTTTTTTTTTTTTTTTTTTTTTTTTTTTCCTTTTTTTTTTTTTTTTCTTTTTTTTTTTTTTTTTTTCTTTTTTCTGAGGGATGGGTTTTTTTTTTGTTGTTGTTTTTTTTTTTTTTGTGATTAATTTTGGAAGCCTCGGGCTGTTAAAATAAAAAAAGAGTGTATAAATCATTTATAAAAACAAAACCGGGTGCTCACTCAAAAAAATAAAATTGCATTAGAGTAAAATCTTTGACGAGTGAAAATAGATGACTTTCAAAATTAAGTTCAATAAAATGAAAGAGCTAAAGTCACGACGGGCGATTAGAACAGGGGGGGGGGGGTAACATGTCAATTAACACACAAAAAAGGAAAAAATCTTATAACATAACAAGTTCATCTCGAAACTGATACAATTGATTTATCTCTAGGTTTAAATTTCGACAAAGGACAATTGTGTGCCCAATAAAAAGTCTAACATACGCAATTAATCAATCTGCAAACTGTGGTCGACTCGCTCAGGAAAACCAAAACCCATTGGGAAAATAGGAAACCTGCATCCGTTTGTCAATGTCATACCACCGGATGTCGGATCGCATCCTTGCAAATTGATACAAATTTTTACATTTACGCATGTTTTGAAATTATTTAAATGTTCTATTGGAGTATTTTTTAAATTAACGCATTTGCACAATAATTATTATTAGTTACGACTTTTAACACTGTTAAAAATTACAAGTTTTAACACTGTTTATAAGTTAAATGTCTACTGCAGACAGCTTTTGTTCCAGCTATGAACATCATACAGTGAATGAAATAACACTATGTCCAAGTTTATTACGGATGGTCTCCTTATTGTGGTACTCTTTAGTTGGGCAAGCAGCATGGCATGGCATGGCATGGTTTTAACAGTGGAATGGAGTCCGGCTCACAGCTGAAATATAAAGTCTTGACAGCAGTAAAGCGTACAACAAAATTTGTATATAAATATCAGCAATTAAGGGTAGGGTGGGTGGGGTTTTAATGAACGATGTTACCACGTTGGAATTTAAGCTAGAAGTGATTTACTAAAGCTGTAGGATTCTACGCACGGAATTCACGTGACAGAGATAACGGTGTAAACTTCTAAACCTGTTTTAATACACGCTTAGACGAGTGTGTTGATACGGTCATGCATTAATAACCCGCTAAATTAAAACGCTTTATTTAATAAAGAAAATAAACCCACTTAATTTCTATGCGGGTTTTTATTCATAAAAATAATTGAGGTTCGATATCAGCCGGAAAATGCCTCACACATAAATACTCTTTAAAGGTAAATAGGGACATTATGATGTCATCAATTAGCAACATGATGTTGTGTAACACACCATTTTAACGACAAAAGTAGAACCAAGAATCTTCTATTTTGTGTTTACTATGTTTAGTAGAACCTGTTGTTACTATGATAAGTAGAACCTCTTAACACATAACGGCCTTTAAATGAAGAGGTTTATTTTAACAGTTGTAACAACATTGTAATTTTGCCATTGCAGAAAAAGAAATAACAAAACATAATTGAATGGGATAAGGCCGTGACTTTATTAAGCATTTGGTGCAAATAAATGTCAATGAAAAACAAAATATGAAATAATGTAATGAATAAAATATGAAAAAAGACAGCTCCCAGCGAAAATGCTTGGACAGCTACATAGCAACGCAATGGTGCTGAAACTATGATAATAAGCGCTAAATATGCTAAATTCTGTTACAATACGGTCTGGGAAATGGAGTCGTATGGCATGGAAAATCCAGTAGAAAATAACATATTCAGAGCTAAAGAGAAAACGAGGGCGAAGGTGAACTCTCAGAGATCTCCGTATATAATGAGATGATGTTTACGGACAGCATTCATTGCACCGAAATGCACATACAGTCAGGGGTGTAAAACTTAAACACGTTATCAATTTTTATAACCCATAGCCGTTATAAAAATTTTATCCGTTTACTAACAGGAATCAACTTTGTAAAAAAGTTTATTTTTATTCGTATATTGTTCTCCGTTTAACATCGAAAAGTGACTGTAAGTACACGTATTTTGTACAGTACCGATAAATCAACAGGTTAATGCATCTCATAGTCAGGTCACGGTCTAATTAATTTGAAATATGTGCTATTTTTAGCTCAAAAATGACCAATTTTTCTAATTTTGAGATCGCTGTTGCGCGAATCTCAAAAAATTTTCCTATTGTTCTAATAATTTTTTTATGAAAGTATAAACAATATGCTTTCACATCTCTGTCTTTGACTTGGTGAGCAAAGCTGATAAAGTTGTGCGCAGGGCATTTGAAAAAAGGTAATACAAAATCATTTCTAACTCTTTTGCGTTATTTCCGGAAAGTAGGGGAAGCAAGAAAAATAACTCTTGCTACCCTATCAGGCTTTATTCCCGATTGTCTACCATTTATACTACTTAACATAATAAAATTCTTGTCTGCAATGTAATTATAAATTGTGGGTTTATAGTGAGTTAAACGATACTGAAATCAATACCAATATTTCATATACAGCTTAAATAATGTTAAATACATTGTTTTCGTGTAAGTTTGAAGACATGGCTTTTTAAATGTTTATTTTAAAACAAATTAATGTGTCTAAAAACCGTATTAAAAACTTATTTTTTGTAGAGGTATTTTTATCTTTTATTTCTAGACGGCAGCAACTAAGT